AGCCTCGTTCCGTGAAAATGATGATCAGCCGAACACTACCAGCCACTCCTACAATCCTTTGGACTACGATTTCTCCTTCGAGGATAGATCGAAAGACGTCTTTGATGATTACGAGTATGAGGATGATGAGCCTGCTGACAGACCTACTCGGCTAGCAATTGTGAACCCGGAAGAGCCTGATGACTGGGATAATAATGTCAACAAACACCAACCCCTTCCTCCTGCTGGCGTATTATCCGCAGGCGATGTCCATGATTATAATAACGATATTAATAGAAGTAACGAACGGCAAGAAGGTTACGGCCATTCTGAACTTGACGCCTACTTATCGAGCGGCAATCAAGGTCTTGGCGAGGGTCACAACCACCACCAACATCCTCAGGCTCCCATCCCATCCTTCGATATCATCCCTCCCGAAAATAGCCATAACAATGTGAAACCTCATGCAACGGATAGAGATTATCTTCCCAGTCAACGGGCGAGATATAGTTACATGAATCATCAGCCGCCAGTGGCAAGTTCTACACTTACTTCCGACCCTCGTCAAAGCCACGGTGCTGGGCAATGGCAGCGCCGAAGTCAATATGATGACTACCAGCAACAACAAGATTACCTGGTCGATGATTGGCCAGTGGAGGCGATTTTGTATCAGAATCAGAACGAGAGCCAGGAGAGGAGATGATCCGTTCTATTTATATTTTTCCTGTTAATGTTGATACTTGGAAGAGGAACGAATAATGAACTCTTTGGCCATAGTTTGAAATTTTGTTTTCACGGGCTATTATAAGATGGCGCTTCCTATTCATGATTGCTTTTGAAAACATTGTTTGTGCATGAAGGGGAATGAGGAACACCCCCCCTTTGTTTTTTTTTTGTTTTTTTTTTTTTTTGTGTGTTTTTTTTTGGGTTACGGAACCATATTGTTTTTCATTCAGCCTTTTTTTTGCTGGAAAAGGCATTTCAGATTTGAATTTTGTGCGTACAAAATAAACCTTTGCTCTGTTTATTAAACAACTCCTAATATAT